TATCAAAATAAAGGGCCTTTCAAATTAATACCCCCGCCGCAGCAAACCTGCAGACTAAGCGAATTTCCATTTCCCTGAATGGATTTACACTAAAATGTCTCCTTAAAATTATCACATTTATTCCCTATTTAAATAGAATCAGTTTAAAACATACTTAGGTTTGCTGCAACAGGGAGGGTAAAAGTGTTTTTTATGTAAAATGTTAATAGTTAGTAAGAAATAAAAACATTTTCCAAATTTGGGCAAAATATGTTTATAAACAAGCAAACTACAACAGTTTACTTATTCTCCATAAGAATAACATGGGAATTTTAAATTTAAAATTTTTTGGAATTTTCTCCGTAACCATTAGGCGCATTATAACGCTTCAATATACTAAATTATTTGTTTTTTTAAGCTCTACAAAATAGTTTCGAAAGAATTTGCAAAATTTTATGTTTTTTGGGTCAAAAATGGGAAAAACCCATTTTTACCCCATAACAGCCCCCATAAACCCCCGTTCCCATGGTCCGATCATGCTGGTTCGCGAACTCGTTCGAATAAACGTAGGTTTACACGTTTGTACCAAATTTCATCAAAATCGGATCATTTTTGCTCGAGTTATCGCGCTAACGGACACATATATATATATAATAAGCTATTACCGTAGTACTCACGGTAAGACCTGGACCCGGGACCGATTTTTTTTTTCGTTTTGAGGTCCCTAGAGGTAAAAAACACCATCCGTTCAAATTCATATATATATATATATATGAATTTGAACGGATGGTGTTTTTTACCTCTAGGGACCTCAAAACGAAAAAAAAAATCGGTCCCGGGTCCAGGTCTTACCGTGAGTACTACGGTAATAGCTTATTCCCTATATGGGAAATTCGCTAAAAAGAAGGCCACAAATTTAAACTCTCTAAGTGGAATAGTTTTTGAGTTATACAATATTAACCATTTCAAAACGCAGCTCGAAAACGTAGATTTTCGGATTTTTAAAGCTTTGTAACTCAAAAACCAAAAGACAGAAAAATCTAAAAACTTTTATTTTTACTAGTCTTGGTTAGTAAACCTGCATACAAAAAATCAAGCAAATCTAAGAAGTCAAGGTCCAGACCATTGGTTGATTTGGCATGGAATGACCCTTCAACTGACTACTATAAGATCCCCGTGCGTAGAACGGGCACACAGCTAGTTAGTAAACAAATAACAATGGAAGCTATGTTTGAATGGTATAGCGACAAAGTGTCAGTCGGAATATTGAGAAGAAAGAGAGAGATAGATGTAAGCAGTAAGGTAGCGAGCGACTGAGCTTATCACCTGTTAGGGCAAAGGTCGCAAACTGGACTGCTGAGCCTACCACCCCTACCTCACCCCTACATCCCCTGCCACTGGAGGGCCCTAAGCAGGTGCATTTGGGGCATTAGGACAGATGATGTTTGGACGTCGTACAGCGCACAAGGTAGGTACCGTCGTGGTAGAATATACTATAGCCACTATAGCGACTATAGCCATAAGCGTGACGCAATAAGTTGTGCTTATAGTAAGTAAGTTTTAGGCCTAAGGTGGATAGTGTCCGTAAGTATAAGCTCAGGGTTGTTAGGCATACTAAGCAGCCCTATTTTGGTATAGTTAGTTCTACCCAAGCCCCAAAGCCTTATAACTTGGACAGAACATTCAACGGGACGGCTTAGAAGGTAGGTACCGTGAGGGAATACCTCGCGGTGGAGTTAGGCTGATTGGAGGGGCTATATCCTGCCACAGCGAATTGTATTCAACTGGATTTGGACTACGGAACGAAGTAAGTAGCCTACCATCTCATGACTGAAATAAGTCGAGACACACAAGTTAGGGTAACGGATAACATAACATAAAAATCAGCCGGTAGGGTCACGGTAAACATTAGCTACCGCGAAAATTCGATGATAAAGACTATAGGGTCAAAGTCCAAATTCGATATCTCAAGGTGGGCAATGATTAGTCCATTGTAGGTACGTACTTGGTTGCCGCGGACTGAGCTTAAACCTCGAGATATATAAGGAAATCGAGAATTAAATTAACTTTAGACCTCTGGGTATTTAGACATTCTGAACTGTCTGGAGAAATAGTAGAAATCTAAATTAATCGTTAAGGGTAAATATCCCTCACAAAATCTAAAGGAGAACACCGCCATAGTGCTATTGCGAAACCTGGACGTTACTGAAGGAATGAGCAAGGGAACTCGATTAATCCATCTGAAGGAACTATGCAACCATATGAAGGCCCAAATAATCAAACTGGAGAGCATACTGGGAGATTTGTTCACATTCCACAAATCACATTAGATTCAAGCAAATCCCATATTGTAAATACAATGAAACGCCATCAGTTTCCCTTACGTTAAGCATCCGTAATGACCATACTTAAGAGCCAAGGACAAACACTGAAATTCATGTTATCGGTGTTATCCTGCTCACCGGGGTTTTCATGCACTATGCTTTACGTGGCATATTCTTGGGTTTAAAACCAAATGGCTTGAAAGTGTTCTTACCGCTAACAAACCCAACACACACCTGCCAAATAGTAGGTATGGAAAGAAGTTATAAGATAATTCAAAAATACTTCTCCAATCCCGTCATACCACAACCTGATGGGTATTGTAGTTGAAATGTAACCAAAATGTGTAATCCAAAATGTGTTCACTCACATTGAATACCGTAGGCCTACATAGGTAATAAATATTTTTGACTTAGCTAATTAGCTTACCTAAGTTATCTAATAAATGTTTAATTCAATCTGAGCATAGCTCGGTCTCCTGGTAAATTTTGAAACATATGCCTATTACTTAGGCTACCATGTTGGCAGTTGTGTGACACATACATCGTGCATCTGACTTTGTTTGAAATTTTTGTTCACTTGTATGCTAAATTAGATTGATCACTTTGATATGAAGTTAATTTATGTAGGTTAGTTAATTTACCTAATAAAATTAAAATTTGGAATCTTATATTTCAATCGGTAACTAGGATTGGATTGGACAAATTATCCAGATTAACTAGGGTGGAGTGGGGTAAGTGTGACAGCGGGGTAAGTGTGATAGCCGGCCATCTTGTTTTTGGGAATCGCTGAAAAAATTGGTTTTGTCATAGAAATAATGTTTGACATATGAGGTATCTAGTTAAGTTACATAGTTTTTTATCAATTTAGTAACTCCTGTATGTTGATTTTATTGGTTTTTAATAAGTCCGACATTTTAGGTCAAAATTGAAGTTTGTTCGGAAATTTTGTTTATTTTGTAGTTATTTTAAATTTTGACCAATTTATATCAAACTCAGATTTTTAAAGAGCCTAAAAGCTAAACTTTTAGAAAAAAAATATTTAAAACGGGTACAAATTTATCATTAAATTTAAAATCACATGTCACACTTGCCCAGGAATTTTTCAATGGCTGGGGCAAGTGTGACACCGACACCCGGGGCAAGTGTGATCTGATGTAATCTGATGTTAATCTGTGTGATCTGACGCAAGTTTTTACAAATTTCCGCAGATTTGTACGTCTTTATTTCATTTGTAAATATCTCAAAAAGTAAGGATGATAGGGACTTAAATCAAAATGTTCCTGAAAGAGCACTAACTGGGTATTTATCACAATTGCCCCATTTACCATTAAAAGAGATACAGGATTTTATAGAGGCCGCTATCACACTTGTCCCGACCCCATGGAGCAAGTGTGACAGCTGGCAGGCATTTTTTGTAGGTAAAAAAAAAAAGTGAAAGCATAAGTTTATCACATTGGTTTTTTTTTTACCAATAAAGATATTTCCAAAGTTTAAGTGTTAAAAATTTCAAGTTTCTAGCTTTAAAAATAACTGAGAAAAAAAGTTGTAAAGATGAACTTTATGATTTTTAGGTCACACTTACCCCACTTCACCCTATAGTTTTTATCCGTTTTTTTTTTTTTTTGTAGTTCAAAAACCCTTACAAAATGCGAAATATAGCCTATGTAGTCGCTGCCACTACATACACCAACTAGGCTACTGCAACTGAGAGATAGATAGAGAGATAGGTGCGTTCACAAAGAAAGCTGGTGACAAGTAACATATTTTCAGCGCTTGCTCCAAGCATTCATTTACTTACAGTATTTATTTTATTAATTGCTACAAGCGGTTGAGAATTTTGTTGTGTTTACACAGCAAAAGCTTGCATTTGAAGCTAGTTCTTTTGTTTTTTTAAGACAAGGTCTTCATCAACTGATAAAGAGTTATTTTTGTTTGCAAATGTCAAATTAAAAATTCGTAACTTAGAAGGAAAGTTGGTGTTCATGCAATTAACCGCGGAAGAGGTTAGGTTTGCGAAATACCACCATCTATTTCCTCAATCATTGGACTCAAAAGTGAGGGGTTTTCTTTGATATGAGAATGGAGTGGTAGACTTCCGTATCTGTTGGCACAAACAACCGAATGAAAATTTTGATTTATATATCGATTATTCGATATATTGTTTGGTTAGTTAGGTAAGGTTAACCTAACCTAGCAAACCAAACGATATATCGAATATGGTAATCGATATTTTCATTCGGTTGTTGGTGCCAACAGATACGGAAGTCTACCCGAATGGAGTTAACCACGTTTAGTTACATCGTCAAGAAACTCTATTAGCACGTAGATTGAGGCGTTTGTCCCAAATAGCCCCTCTTCCAACAGTTCATTGACATCCATAAGCCTACTGCACAGTTGTTTGTCACTGACTGGTTCGGTCAAAAAGAGCTAGAAAACAAGTACAAAACATTCTTGCTCGCTTGTCAGAATTTGTAACTTAGCAAGCGCTTGCTAGCCGGGGCAAGCTTTGCCAACAAGCGCTTGTAACCAGCTTTCTATGTGAACACACCCTAAGTTATTATAAACTTAGGCCTAGTCACACTGCCACTTGAAGGGTTGAGTTAGGCCTGGCCTATGAGTCCAGAAGGACTAAACTTAAAGGCCTACTAATGAATTCCTAACGACTTGTATTGTGTAGTGTAGGTCTTGTATGCTAACCTTTAGTGAAAGTGACAATTTCTTCAAACTTGATTTCTTCATTTCTTGGTCCGGCTTATGATGAAGGTCTATTTGGGTTAGGCCTAACTCATTTATAATTAAACAAGAACAAGTACCGGTACGTACTTTACATGTACAGAGAAAGACTGATAACTTAGTAACTTAGAAACTCAACCCACGTCTAAAATTAAATGAGCAAAATCCATTAAAAAAAAAACAAATGAATAGCCTAGGCCTGTCCTAGATGTATAGGTTAATCCAGCTAAGCTAAAACTGGATCTATACTAAGTTAGTCCTAAACTGTAAATGTTAATACTGTACTATACTTTCGAAACATAACCTCTTAAAAGTAAACTAATCTCTGTTTTACAAATCACAATAACTAGCCTATAATGTAATGATTATAGCTAAGTAGATAAATTTGCATAGTAAGTTAGGCTAGTAAACTTAATTTGTTATTTCCTTTCCACTCCACAGTCACTATGTCTTCGTCTTCGCACTGTCTTCGTCCGTTCCGTCTTATTGACAACGACGATAAAACAAAACGTAGTATTACTAGTATTCGTACTGTACTAATAAAGATAAAGTAATCATTGCTCATTAGTCGAGTGGCAACTGGCAAGTAGTAGTGTAGTCTGTAGTCAGTGTAGTTAGTAGTGTAAGTAAGTAAGACAAGTAAGTGTACAAAAATAAAAATGATTTTGATTTCCCTCCCGGCCGCTCAAAAATATCAGCTCGGAGCCTCGGAGGCACTTTTTTTTAAAGCAGCACAAGGTTTGGCACACTGGCAGCACGACATGATAGGATAGATGATAATCGGCTAGTTATCGTTACTTGGTCATATCCATCGATGTATATGACAGAGACAGGTTAAAACTCCTTAATAGGCCTAGATTTCCCATCCATAAGCTGGGTTTTCCTAGGCGCGGAGTCGGCGAGTGGAGAGAGGAACGCGGAGAGCGGAATTGAAATTAACATGGCATTCCGCTCCGCTTCTAGGAAAACAGTAACATTAAATTGCCTAGTGGAGTCCGCTCTCCGCGTTCCTCTCTCCGCTCGCTGATTCCGCGCCTAGGAAAACCCGGCTTTATGGAACAGAACAGCTGGAGCTGAAGCCAATTTTACGGGTCTGACTTAGGGGAGGCACGATTGAGGCATTAGTTCAAAATTCCTCCGTGAACAGCGCAGAGAGCATTTTGGCAATGACGGGTTTACTAATCGCAAAAATAGTTCTGTTCTAAAATAAAATTATAATGCCCCAAATTCAATTTTATCATTATAAAATTACTATCATAACCTAACCGAACTAACCAAACTTGCTAATAATGAAATAATATAAAAAAGTTTATTAATAGAAAAAATAATTGTGTTCATTAAATAAAACGAAATTGCTCAATTAAAACTTTATAATGACTTAATAATAAAATTAAACTGTCATAACCAAACCAAACCAACCAAACTTGCTGATAATGAAGAAATCTTAGTCAAAAAGTTAGTGCCACCAGCGGGATTCGAACCCGGGACTCTAAGCACATCAGTCCGGCACGCTCTCTAGACCACCGAGGCCGATGGCTGCAAAATGTATTGTTACGGTAATGGTGTTCCCTCAGCTAATGAGAAGCCTTCAGCTGACAGCTGTCATCGTAAGCCCATCTATACCTCCCCTGAGTAAATACCCCAATTATACGGGTAATGGCTGAAAAACTATCAGAGAAATGGAAAAACCCATACAGTTTGGTAATAAGTTGGAAAAGATCAAGAACAATTTGTGCTGTTTTAAGGGCAACCAGTATATGTGTTTGAGGCGAACAAGAAAGAAATGGCGGTCAGCAAGAGAATTGGAAGACGGAGCTGGGATTCCAAATTTTTTTGTTTAAAAATTAATTGTCAATTTCAAATTTTACAGTCCTCTACTCTTTTTTGTGACATTTCTATTTATATTAAATAAAAATAAATTACTGTTTATTCTGTCTGGTGTACTAACTCTGTAGAGTGTTTTGCTTTTGCTTTCAATTCGTAGCTATATAACCAGACAGTGAGACACAAATCATGAGAAATTAACCCTAAAATAATAGAAACAAGTTGTAAACAAAACACGACATCTACTTACATTACACAGGACAGAACTGATATGACAATAAAATTGGCTTCAACTGTTCCAAGGATGGGAAATCAGGAGTATGTTTTGTTTTATCAATTCTGTGCTCTCTGGTTTTAGACTAGCTAAAAGTACCCGTGCTTCGCTACAGGTAATACTAAATTTAAGTGCGGAGGTAAAGATGCCAAATTTTGGGGTAGCTTAAAGTTAAATGAAAGGGTGATTGGTTCAAAAAGCTTTTTAATTTGTGCAGTAAATGGTATTAAGATTACTTTAGAACGATAACAAAACGTTTTTATAAACATGTTTGCAGCTTTGTTGTCTGGTGTTGTATATGTACAAATCTCTGCTGCACGATACACGTGAGCATGACACGTACCATGAGACCAGTTGGCCATGAGAAAAACATTGATTTTCTAGATGTTAGCCGGCTATTTGAAGAATTTGGCCTTGTGCTTTATTTATTGTCATGGCAAAGGCCATCTTCAGTGGAAATTGAAGACGTTTAAATGTAAACGTTAAGTCTGTTTGGAATTATTGGATTTCTTGGTATGAAAAACTGTAGGCCTATCGACTTTTGCACTGAGGACCTGGGCTTCAATGACGTTTGGTTTAACAAAGTAACGATAAGTCGGGTACCATTGCAGAGTCGTTGGGGTAACAAATTTCTCAGTAGCATTACAGGTACCCCCACTTTCAATTCAATTTTGTGAGGAGGGACACCTGGAAACTCCAAGGTGTTGAGAAACTCCACTGGATATTGAACGGCTGCATCCTCTTCTAACACAGTGTAAATAGACAGATACTATGATATGTGTAGCCTGGAATTCCTGTAAGTATCTTATACTGTTGATAGTATTAACACAGTGGCATTTTGGGAGCAAGTATAGCTCTTTTACACAGCCATTCACTGGACAAATGATTCTCAGCAACTGATGGATGTACTTTCATTATCAGTACCTCCGATGAATCAACCATGTTGGCGAAGTTTGGAGGAAATTTGATTCTGTGTTGGCTATCAACAAGTATCTGCTGTCCATTTCCGATGTTCAATAAATCGGAAGAAAACAATTCAGCATCGTGTTCGTTGTGGAGAATCACTCTCATGTTCTGTGTCAAATGCTTTTTCTCAACCTAACTCCACAAAGCAGACTTTTAATGTAGGCACTTATTTCATCCGCGGGTGTTCCTCGAGAAAATACTGGAAGTGTTTTTCCTGAAATCTCCAGCCAATAAAACAACCACCCTCCCATTTAAGTCTTTTACTGTTTCTTACATCTTTAAGTGTTAAATCGAGAGCTTCTAGTGCACGTTTGTGTGACATGGTTGGTGTACTCGTCGAAGTATATTAATACAACTGGAACGCTAAGTACGAGTTCACGAAAGCACGCCGTTGTGGCAGCCTTCCCCCACCACCATGTGGAACCCAGTGGATTATAGCCAATTCATCGAATAGTGCGTGAAGATGTTAACTCGCTCCTAGCCTTCAATAACACAGAGTAAGTACAATTATGTTTATATAGTATTCGTAATCTGCATTAAATGGAGAATGTAATGGTATAAATAAATTTTAATTTTGATTTGAAATAGAATTTTCTTAGTTTAAAAGAGTCAACAATTTCTACATTGTGACATAAAAAAGTTAGTATGCGAGGAAGTATTTTATTTTTGGGCCAGAAGAAAGCTTTAAGCGACAAAGTTGTAGTTGAAGAGATGATTTTTAACATGTGATCGAGCAATTTACAATTAAGTGTGTAGTTTGTTTGTAGTAGGGGGCGATTAATAGCGCGACGAGGTTGATTTTATGTCGCACCAACATCCTTTTCCGTCCAGCAACTCTTTATGTTTTCGCTACACTCTATCATTGTAAAGCTAAATAAATTTTAACCTTTTTTAATAGTTGATATAAGTTAAAGAATACAACTACTGTTGTGACTTTATGAATTAGAGTCCATAATAAGCACGAATTTAAAGAAACTCTTTTATTGAAAGTAATATTTACAACTGCAAATTGAAAAGGTAAACATTGTTTTGTAATTAATGACAACAGCTGATAATATACAGTATAAAGAATACTACAATCACCCCCACTTATTTTGAACTCATTTTGTAACATAGTCTTTAAGGTAATCTGGAGCTTTATGAGTGCGGGTTGAACATCGTATACGTGGTCGTGGTGATGGCGGTTGTAAGTTCTCTTCAGCTGGTAATCTGACTAATTCTGGAACTTGCATAGGAACTTGCTGTTGCTGATGTATGGGTGCTTGCATTGGAACTTGTGGAATTATGGAAACTTGATTAGGTACTTCTTCACATTCGTTGAAATGAACCTTCTTTACTTGAGTTTTCCGGAGTTGGTCTAGATGATGTTTCAGTGTCCTTCCAGAATCTAACCTTACAATATAGTGAAGAGTCCCTAGTTTCTGTATAATCTCACCAAATCTCCATATATATTTATTATTTTGTGAATACTCCCTAATGAGAACTCTCTCCCCCACATTGAATGTTCGAACTCTTATTATCGAAGGAGGATTCTTTGCCGGATGGTAAGGTTGAAGAGCATCCAGCTTGATGCGGATCCTACGATGAAGATATCGTTCTGCAGGTGATTGTCCATTTGAGAGAGGAGTGGCACGATATTGTTGAAGAATCTCTTGAACCTTTGTATGTATTTGACGATGGTCATCTTCCAATGCTTTTAATCTTTGCTTCAAAGTCTGGATAGTTCTTTCAGCAAGACCATTTGTAGCTGCATGTCCAGTTGTAATCAGTTTCTTTAAAATTCCATTGGATGAACAGTATTTCTTGAATTCTGCGCTGGTGAAAATTGTGGCATTGTCTGATACCATCACTTGAGGGTAGCCATGAGAAAATGTTATCGAGAAGAATAATAGTATTAGAAGTTGTAGGAGCATTTCTCAATACTTTAACTTCTACCCACTTTGACTTGGCACACACACAAACAAGAAAGTAGTGGTTTTGAAAAGGCCCAGCGTAATCTATATGAATACGCTCCCAGTTTTCTTCTGGCTCTACCCATGGATGAAAGGGTGCTTTGGGATGATTGAATTTTATGTGGGCGCAAATTTCACACGATTGGACAAATTTCTCTATGTCCTTGTCAATCCCTTGCCAATAAACGTATCTTCGGGCTAATTGCTTCATCTTTGTAATACCAATGTGAGTAGCATGTAGTTGCTGTAAGACTTGAGGTTGAAGGCTGTTAGGAATGACAGCACGAGTTTCCTTGAAAAGTACTCCGTTGTCCAATGTGTATGGTAGGTCATTAGAAGAAGACAAAAGTTTCCTTTTAATTTCTCTAAGATTTTGGTCAGCTTCAGTTTCCCGGGCTAGAATAGTTGCATTTGTTCAGATGATATTTCAAAAATTGTTTCTGAATGTAGCAAGGTAACTTCATTGTTTAGGAAAATGTCTAAGGTTTCAGAATGTTGAGTGACTGGAGCTCTGGATAAACAATCAACATAAGCATTTGCTTCCCCTTTCTTGAAACGTATTGAATAGTTAAACCCTGATAGAAAAGATGCATAACGGAGTATACGGCTGGAAGTCATGGGTGGTAAGGATTTGCTTTCATGGAAAATTCTTGAAAGAGGGGCATTATCTGTAATTAAGGTGAAGTGAAGTCCATACAGATAATTGTAAAAATGACTGACTCCAAACACGATCGCAAGAGCTTCTCGATCGAGCTGACTGTAATTTCGCTCTGATGGAGTTAAGGATCTGGATGCCCTAGTAGCACAAATATATATTAAATACATATGAATAAATATATTTAAAATATATCTTATATATCTCAAGTGTGTATTAATGTCAATTTTATATAATACTAGCTGACCCGGCGAACTTCGTATCGCCTAAGTTATAGGTTTCCCCTAAGACAGACCGATGGAAAGAAAGTACCGTTACGTTTAATTTTCAAGATGATCTCGTTCGCATCGCTCAATCACGTCCTGGTTGAAGTTCGTTCGCTACGCTCACTCACCTTTTGGTTGCAAATTAGCTGTTGTCATAAATGTAAAAGAAATAATAGTGCTGCACCCTGTTGGTAATCCTTGTAACTTTAATGCTATTGAACATCATAGAACAGAACCAACTTGTTTAATTGAAACAGCTGTTAAGATTCATTAATTCCATTTCTCATAAGGTTAACATGGGAAACTCCAGAGCCACTGGGGCGGAGCCCTTTTAAGAATTTCGAAACGGGAAATAGTTTACGTCCGATTCGCATAACTACAGAATTTACACACCAAATTTCATAACGATCGGTGAAGTCGTTCCGGAGGAGTTTGCAGACAAACACTGTGACACGACAATTTTATATATTAGATTTAAAATATGTTAAATATATAAAAAATATGTTTTTGAATCTATTAAATATTAAAAAAATATGTTCCAATAATATATTTTAGTGAATAATATTTAAATAAAAAATGTATTTAATATATCTTCCAAACATCCCATGGGGCCTAAACATAAAAACACAAAATAATAAAGATTTAACATGAAAAACAGAATTATAAGTTGAGTAAATTGATTAAATGGTTCATAAAAACAAATTTTGAAAAAATTACTGAATAAAATTTTTTCAGTCCGAGTGGTTTTCGAACCTGGGTCCTTCGGCTTATGAGCCTCCTACCTTATCTCTGTGCTACTTGTGACTGTTGTTGGAATTAGTTTTCAAATGGTGAAAGAGTGGCCCTCAGTTGCAATGTTGCAATACTTGAAATATTTTTGATACTACAGTATAATATGATTCTGTTAATGAGTGAAAATTTAAAAACGTACGTTTTCAGAAAAAGCACTTTGCAAATTTTTTTCCCCTTTTTTCAAAACTTTTATTATTATTTTTATTTCATTAACATTTGAAGTTTCATAAAATGTCCATGGTAACGCAATATCTTTGGTAGTTTCTTTTTAAAAGAGCATCTTTAGTGGAAAAACACAAAATCCTGTCACGACCATAACGGACGTTTAAATGAATATTAAAAATGGTTAATATTATTTTTATAACTATGTTTTGCTATAAACTAATTTACTTTTATGACCATTATACAATAAAAAGGTCACTAAACTTTTAGTATATTTGGTCTTTCCAGAAAAAAATAAAAATACCCCCGCCGCAGCAAACCTGCAGACTTAGCGAATTTCCATTTGCCTGATTGGATTTAAACTAAAATGTCTCCTTAAAAATATCACATTTATTCCCTATTTAAACAGAATTAGTTTAATGAGTACTTAGGTTTGCTGCAACAGGAAGGGTAAACAAGTTTTTTTTATGTAAAATGTTAAAAGGTACTGTGGTTTAGTAAGAAGTTAATGTATTTTCCAAATTTGATTAAAATATTTTCATAAACAAGCAAACTACAACAGTTGACTTATGCTCCATAAGAATAACATGGGAATTTTAAAATTACAATTTTTTTGAATTTTCTCCGTAACAATTAGGCGCATAATAACGCTTCAATATACTAAATTATTTGTTTTTTTAAGCTCTACAAAATGGTTTAAAAAGAAATTGTGAAATTTTGTGTTTTTAGAGTCAAAAATGGGAAAAACCTATTTTTACCCCATAAAACCCCCCATAAACCCCCGTTCCCATAGTCCGATCATGCTGGTTCGCGAACTCATTCAAGTTTATCCCGCCTTACACCTTCAAACCAAATTTCATCAAAATCGGACAAAAATTACTCAAGTTATCGTGCGGATGGAAACATATATATATATATATATATATATATATATCTATATATAGATATATAAAAATTTGAACGAATGGTGTTTTTGGCCTCTGGGGACATCAAAATGAAAAAGTAAATCGGTCCCGGGCTTAGGTCTTACCATGAGACCTACGGTAATAGCTACTTCCCTATAGGGAAATTCGCTAAAACTCAAAAAATTTAAATAAAGCCAATAAAATCTTTTTAAGTTTGTATAACTACGAAAGAACTTACCTGAGACCCGAAAAATCGTTATGTTTGTATAGAGGTGTGCTTCTTTTGTGTATAAAACATTGAAATATGACGATATTTTAATTTTTGAAATTGTTATGATAGAAATCATAAACGTGATGGTCAGGGACAAGCGGTACGGTCGTGAATTGTCTGGGATAATTTAAATCTTTCTAGGCAATCCTTCAATTATACTGTTAGTTATAATAAAAATATGTGTTTCAATTGAACTAAACTGTTCAATTCACAATTATATTAAAGTTATTGTCACGACCAAACACACTATAATCCATAAGGCTGGATTGGTCGTGAAAAAACCCGCGATGGTCGTGAAATTACGTGTTATTTGGCTCTGTTCTGGCGGTAGCCCTGCACCTCATGTTCGAGGATGTTCGTGACGCCAAATCGAGGGACAGACTTATTTTGTCATGGTAGTCAGTTTGCAATGACAATAAAATTATAATATGCTCCTTTTTTGTAAGTTTAATAACCATTGATGACATAAAAATATGGCTTTATATATTTCGGCATGAATAATTAGTCTAAAAACAGCGTGAAAGTTGGAAAATGTACCCTAGGGACACGTCATGGTCGTGAATTTTGAGACTTTAAAAATACGAAAAAAATACCTAGAACCTATTTAAAACCAAATAAATGTGTGTAACGTGTTGCCCCCGTCCCAAAAAAATATTAAAACACATAATAATAAACTACAAATCAAGTATCTACGAAGTAAAAGGCCAGGGACATGAAAACGTACGTTTTTAAATTTTCACTCTAATCTGTTTTGGCATCAAGTAGTTGAGTTGAATAGTGCTGTAGTGAATAGTGGAGTAGTCTCCACGAATACAAATACAGTAAACTACAAAAATTAATTTAAATACTATGACAAATATTATGTAATTTATGGCATATGTAAATCAAATAATTATTTTTAGAACGTCATATACAACCGTAATTAGTTTCTTAAAAGGTCGCCAGTCACTAGCACCCTTTTCTAGCCAGTCACTCAAGATTTCTATGATCACATTCGTTGTCACATATTGCAATTAAAACAATAAAACCCATCAACACTTTTTTTCGTTTGACCCAAATGTAGCTGTCGAACATGTATACTACCTCTTACCTATATGCTATTTTTTTCTTTACGTGTATGATAGAGTGACACCATTCAGAGTACGTATTATTATTAGCTTAATTTTAACGCTTTCACAATAGCAATCATCATACAAAAAATGCATGTATAAATTGATAAACACTTTAAAAAACAAAAAGATGCCAATTATTTATTTGCTAATTATAAAAGATTATAGGCTATATATTCTACAAATATATTATTTTATTAATAAAAATATCTGACGTGTTTCAAAATATATTTAAAAATAATTTAAATATATAATATAGTTTCAAAAATATTTTATATATATATTTAAAATATTCTCAACACATAATTTTAAATATTTAATAGGAAAAATATACATATAAAATTTGTATATTATAGATTCTATACTTGTTTTATCAATATATATTATGAATCTATTTTATATATTCAAAACTTATATTTAATTTATATTTTGCATTGCTTTTTGGTAATATTTCAAATATATATTTGAATATGTCAAACTATTATTAAAGATATATTATATATATATTTTATTCGAGGTTCTATCAAATACAACTTTAAATATATAAAATATTTATAAAATACATATCTGTGCTACTAGGGTGCGTAAGCGATCGGTTTCTCTTTATCATCAATTATGTGACTCATTACAGCTGCAATTCCGGTAGGACTGGCATCACATGTTAGAACGATTGGACGATGGGGGTCATATGGTACGAGAACTCTTTTAGATGTTATTTCCTCCTTGAGACAATCAAATGCAGTTTGACAATCTATTGACCAATTAAATCTTCTATTTTTCTGTAGAAGCTGTCGAAGAGGTGTTGCTTTTGTAGATAGGTCTGGGATGAACCGAGCGTAGTAGGTAACCATTCCAAGAAATTCCCGGACCTCATCAATATTCCTTGGTTGAGGCATATTACAAACAGCTCTAATCTTTTCTGGACTTTTTGAAATTTGATTGTAGTTAATCACATGACCAAGATAGTCGATAATCTGTTCGCAAAAGAATTTGCATTTGTCTTTGTTTAGATGCAAGTCGTTTGCATGTAGACGGAATAGACCATATACTAGAGATGGCTATGAATAGACACAACCGTAAATTATTGTAGCATTCATCTTTTGTTGTACCGTGCACGATTATGTCGTCAAAATAAACTTCAGACTTTGGTAACCCGTTTAGAATTTGGCTTAGAATGCGATTGAATTCGGCAGGCGCGGTCTTGATTCCGAAACTAAGTCTGTGCATCAAGTACCCTAGTGGAAGAGATCAATATATATCAATACAAAAACTGTATAATGATACGTATTGATATCTATATAGGTATTTGGGCCAATAGACATCAATACATATCAATACAAGTAAATAGGATCCGAGTCATTAGCTTAATTGAAAATAATTTGTAGCTTGTTAAAAACAATTTTTAATTTGTTTCAACACATTGAATCACATCTACTATGCACTAAAAATAAAATAAAAATGAAAAAGTAAAAAAATTCTCGGCAAAAAGCTCTTGGTGCTCCCGTGATTTGAACCTGGGACTCCAGCATGGTAGCCGATTGTCTAAGCCATTATGCCACGGACACTTCTTGAAAGCATAAGTAATGATAGCCATTTTGAATGCGAGAAGCTGTGTTAGGCCTCATAATTTAACTTGGAATAGTTATTTGTGTAACTAGTGGTGAAAGTGGCACTTTGCTGCACACGAGAGCAATGTTTACGCACGAGCCGCAGGCGAGTGTGGAATGATCTCGAGTGCAGCAAAGGCCTTTTTCACTCGTGTTACACATTATATTTTTCCTACAGTCACTATAAAGCATATAAATAATTAGTCTTTCAAACACTATGCAACACGTTTTTAGGTTCAGCTGGCAACACAGATGGTGCCCTAGAGAAAGTAGTAGGCTACCCGTCGTCCATATCACTCCGCTATTTTTCCTCGGCAAGAAATGTGCTGCGCGTTTTGAGAATATAGTTCCGTATGTTTTTGTAATTTGAAGTGGTTTCCGCGCCTAAAAAAATGCTTAAAAGGTATTTTCTTGTTTATTAAGATCGTAGGAAGGTTTTAAAAACGTTTAAAAGAAAAGTCCAGAAAGTTCAGAAATACCGAAACTATAAACACGAAATGACAGGTTAAATCGTAGTTATAATAGTCAATCAGCTGCTCATAGTATAATTATCTTTAAGTGTTGCCAACCTATTTCCAAGCGTACACGGATTACGTGCATAGACTGGAACCACGCTGTTTTGTGTTGTTTCGTTGGAATCCTGATGTGCGGCAAAGTATAAACCGTACGGCAAAGTATAAACCGTACGGCAAAGTATAAATATGCAGCAATTAGCAGCTTTCTGTACTATAAACAGTACAAGGAAGCCAACTTTATCGGGTGACTGTAGGAAAAAGATTTTTTTTTCAATGGCATTTGTGTCATTTCAAGCATGTACCTGTATGCTTTAACATGTTTCAAAACTGTTTTATTACCAGTTCAAACTGTTTTCTTGCTACTTGGGTGATGTGAATAGTGTCAATACAATTTATTTGTATTGATTTCTAGAAATAAGGAATTCAAAAATAAATTTGTGAGTGATTTTTATCCCTAACAATAACCCAATAAGAAAAAAAAATTGTTAAAAGTTGTCGAAAGCTGTATTACAATTGTTGTATAACAATTTTAAAACATTTTGATTTAAACTTCATATTACAACAATGTTGATATAAGATTGAAACAATTTTAAAAATGTTTACCTAACCCACCATGTTAAACTTCCCTATCCCAAGCGTGATGTATATAACTTCGTTACTTCTCGAGTAATGTAAAGTTGGAAAAAACTCACTCGGTGATGTAATGAAACCCATTTAAATAACATTGAGTGCTTAACTTAAAAAATATACCTCTATGGAGCCAACGACGTTCAACGCTAGAAATCAGCTGCGCGCTTGAATTTTATTGTTATGTTTTGAAGAATTTTCCTAACCTAGCTTTTGTTTGTAAATGAACGTTACTGTTAGAAGATGAGTGAAATGGATAATGAAAAATATTGTTCGTAACCTCCTGTATATTGTCGGGTCAGGTAAAATTTTGTACGTTACACGTTACGCAAGAGCGTGTTTACATCACTTCGGTAAATTATGCAACTCGCTTCCGCTCGTTGCACAACATTCACCTGCGTGATGTAAAAACGCTCTTACTACACTTGTAAGGTAAATAGCTATTAACAATAAGTTTTTTGCAGTTGAAAAAAAATAAGTTTCAATACGAGCTGTAACTGTTTTACGACAATTTTAAAATTGTTTTACAACCAGTTTTTTGAAGTTTAAGAAAATTAGTTTTAATACAAGTTGTAAACTGTTTTACAACAATTTTAAAATTGTTTAGCAATCAGTTTTTGGCAGTTAAAAAAATAAGTTTCAATACGAGCTGTAACTGTTTTACAACAATTTTAAAATTGTTTTACTTTCAGTTTTTTGAAGTTTAAGAAAATTAGTTTTAATATAAGTTGTAACTGTTTTACAACAATTTTAAAATGATATATTTTAAAATTATATTGAGTTTTAGGTACCTCAGCTAACGTCTATGACCTAAAACTAGAGTTTTTCCTTAAAAAAAAAACAAAACTTTTTATTACTTAACCACTTTACATTGATATTTTGTTAATACTCATATGTGATACATTTTAGAGATATTTTGATTTTTATTTACCCGTATTGATGTCTATTGATTTATATTTACATCTAACATATTTAAAAAATATTCTCTATTGATATCAATGAACGATTTGTTTGCTCTAATGATCTATATTGATATATTTTATGTTTATAGATGTCTAGTGATATGTATTGACTAAGTTTTCAGTGATGTCTATTTGTTTGTATTTACTTGTAATGATATCCATGAACATCTATTGATATCACTAAGCATCTAGTGATATCAATAGATTTTTTCTATTGATTTCTATTGATGTCTTCCACTAGGGTATGTACCGCGGTGTGTAGTAATAGCTGGAATGTGAAAATAAGCCTTGTAAATATCAAGCTTGCAATAGCTATTTATTTACATTACAAGTGTAGTAAGAGCGTTTTTACATCACGCAGGTGAATGTTGTGCAACGAGCGAAGGCGAGTTGCATAATTCACCGAAGTGATGTAAACACGCTCTTGCGTAACGTTTAACGTACAAGATTTTACCTGACCCGACAATATTCAGGAGGTTACGAGCAATATGCTTCATTATCAATTTCACTCATCTTCTAACAGTAACGTTCATTTACAAACAAAAGCTAGGTTAGGAAAATTCTGCAAAGCATAACAATAAAATTCAAACACACAGCTGATTTCTAGCGTTGAACGTCGTTGGCTCCATAGAGATATATTTTTTAAGTTATCCACTCAATTTTATTTAAATGGGTTTCATTACATCACCGAGTGAGTTTTTTTTTCAACTTTACATCACTCGAGAAGTAAGGAAGTTGTATAGTAGCTTGGGATAGGGAAGTTTAACGTGGCGGGTTAGGTAAAAATATTTAGAGTCTCGCAAACAGTGTAAAACATCTGGAATGTGTTTGATCGGGAAATTATATGAAACAAGACGATCATTTACGCCTGTTTTGTAATCGGCGCATAACCTCACTGTGCCTTTTTCTTTAGGAATAACAACCAAAGGCGAACCCCAATCGCTAGCATCGACTTTAGATATTATGCCGGATGATTCAAGAATGTTGAGTTCTTCCTCAACCTGAGATCTAAGGGCAAACGGAACATTACGTTCTTTGTTATACACAGGTTTAGCGTAATTGTTGTGACTTTGAATTAGAGTTCATAATAAGCACGCATTTGAAGAAACTCTTTTATTGAAAGTAATATTTACAACTGCAAATTGAAAAGGTTAACATTGTTTTGTAATTAATGACAACAGCTGATAATCTATATATATAAAAGGCAAATCCCTCACTGACTCGTACTCATTCACTCATCATCACTAATTCTCCCACTTCCCATTTACCTAGGAGGCTGAAATTTGGTACACTGATTCTTTAGGCATTAAATAGGAAAACTAAGTTGTTTTTATTCTGATCGGACTCTCGGGCTCCGCCCCAGTGGCTCTGGAGTTTCCCATGTTAACCTTGAGTACTCATATTTAAATCTAATTAATGAATCTTAACAGCTGTTTCAATTAAACAAGTTGGTTCTGTTCTGTTATGTTCAATAGCATTAAAGTTACAAGTATTACCAACAGGGTGCAGCACTAATATTTTTTTTTAAATTTATGACAACGGCTAATTTGCAACGAAAAGGTGAGTGAGCGTAGCGAACGAACTTCAACCAGGACGTGATTGAGCCATACGAACGAGCTCACTAATGAAGTAAAACGAGGCAAAGCCCGCGGGTACAGCTAGTATACAATATAAAGAATACTACAGTAACTAGCTAACCAAACCTGAAATCGAATTAAATAATTTATATTACTCCATCTATGTTATTAGTTTGTATTTTGCTATGCAACAGGACCGGAAGTAAACTTGGAAAAATGGAGTTGAAATATGGGAAACGGACTGACTAATAAGACGTCACCAACGGCTCCTGTCCTGTGAACCTCTCCGAAACGCGATCCTGATGGCAAGAATAAAAAAGTCCCTGGCTCGCTGCCCAAGGCCACAATAGTGGAATAGTGTGGCCTTGCGCTGCCTCTGGTCCTTTCCTCCATACATAACCTTTCCGTCCGTTTCCATTCCAAATAACGGGATAACGGGAACGGCAATAAATATTAAACAAAACATAACCTAATAAACCTAACCTAACCCCATCAATTAACAAAATACAGATTATCGGTGTACTTTTAAATTGCAATATAAAATTAATCAATTGAAGGCTACAGTCAAATGGCTGAAGACAGCGAACAGGTTGGTTTAAGTGAATTATTTAGGGATATAAGTTACAGGTACAGTTCTCTTAACTTAACTTATATAGGGCTGCATTTTAGTATCTGTCCTACACTCATTCAAATGAAAAATATTGATGTATAGATTATTCGATATATCGATTATTTCATTCGATAAGTTAGGTTATTTATTTAATTATTTATTTATTTATTTATCTTACGGTTACTAACCTAACTACAAAAAAAAAAAGAAAAAAAAAATGGAAAACAAGACTTCAATAACAAGACATAAAAAGATAAATAACAACTATAACAAACTATGAATAACAAACTATAAGTAACAACTATAAATAACAAACTATCTGAACAAGTTGACAAAACGAGAGATTCGAAAAACAAAACCAGTATAGGAACAATAATGATTCAATGCAGTAAGCCGAGTGAAACTTCAGTAAAAGAGGCAGAACAAACTTCATGAAAAACAGATAAAACTTGCAGAAAAATAACAATATGATCTCATCTAGAAATAAAGCAATTTGTTCGGTTACTATCTTCTCCAGTATCTTTGAAATTACAGGTAACACAGAGATAGGTCTTAGCTGCTGGATGGTTTTTTGGCGTAGCAACTTTAGGCGACGATTCACTTAACTTAGGCAATCTTCCAACTGTTAGGGGAAATGTGTAATTGCTCCTATTGCATATGGACTAACAGATTTTATCGTTTCTATAGATGTATCATCAGCACCTAGCGCTTTTGATTTATTGAGTTCATTGACTCTTTAACATAATTTTCTGTAATAAGTTTGAAATTAAGCCTATCATTATCTCCGTGTTTTTTATCATTTAAAAATATATTTAGTATTTCAATATCTATATCTTTTCCAGATCCCATATTGGTGAAATATTCATTTATTCTGTTAATATCTAAATCAGGGGGGAGCCTACTATTTCTCTTACTGCTTATAATCTCACCATTTTTCAAACAATTCTAGATCTCTGCAGATTTTTCACATTTCCCAAGCTTGTTAGAGAAGAATCTTTTCTTGGCCTCTAGTATCATTGAATAACTATTTCTCGTAGTTTTGTACCCAACAGTCAGATGAATCTCTGGTCTTCCAGTATTTGTTACGGTGCTTATTTTTTACAAATGAGTAATTGAAAATTTAATCTTTTCATTTAGCCTATCCAAGGAGCCTTTTTCCGTGTTACCTTCTTACAAACAGCAGGAGCAACCTCATCAAACACTTTCTTTAGGCTATATTATCGGTGTTCGGAATGAATTTCTCTATCTCATCAGGAGACTCTAGTTTGTAGTTCCAGTTAATATCAGCAATTATATTTATCTAGTGCAGTATCAACATTGAATTTGGAATAATAATCTCTATATGTGATTAGCTTCTACCCCTTTTCTCTTTCTGACAAGGTATACAACAATAGCCTACTACATTATTTTATGATCAGTCATCCTCATTCCTCTGTGGTCAACTATGCTGGGGGTGTCTATGACTCCAACACTTTCAATCTAGGCAAATTTGTCTACTATAATGTGGTCAATGAATTTTGCCGAGGTTTCTGTCACTCTTCTAGGCTCGTTGACAATTTGTATAGGTAGTGTAAGATTCTCTCATCAGCCTACACAAGTAATTTGTTTCGCAGGTTTGTGACAGAATATCAATGTTCAACATCAGTTATTAATTATACATTCATTGTAGTAGCCCCGGAACTGTGATAATGACTAATATTGGATTTTTATTACCTGTCGTCAGTTCCAAATTGTAACTTCCGTAGATGCTACATGTTTCGGCGAGATGCCATTGTCAAGCATACAGTCCAGGAATGTACATTAAAAAATCCGCTTGTATAGCTTCGTTGTTGGTTTACACACATGACACTTAACACACGACACATAAATAAATAATACATTTGGTTGGATAGGCTTGGATAGGAACAGAGTCTGTTCCCGATCGTGTAACGGCAATGTTTCATACCCATGATAGGCCTATCCAACCAAATGTATTATTTATTTATGTGTTGTGTGTTACGTGTCATAATGTGTAAACGGTTCGGAAGTTACAATTTGGAACTGACGACAGGTAATAAAAAACCAATATTAGTAATTACTGTACACAGTTTCACACTTCAAGAAGTGTGTTTTAGGTGAGTTGGGGGTTGTACATTCTTACCCACATTATGTTATCTACTTAAAAAATAAAATTTTTATTTAAGTTACGGTATCCTTGTTATTTTTACACTGAATTTCATTTAAATTTTTGAAAAAATATTCTTTTTAATAATTAGGTGAAAAATAAATAATTTGGTACTGTAGGCCTACAAATGCCACTCATCTCCCCACCCTGTTATCTCGCACATAACTTAGTTTTAGCAAATTTTACATTTTTCCTTTACTTTTAAAGTAGGCCTACCCTACTGTACTAGGACAAGTATACCGTATAATTGGTAGCCTACTTAGTTGATTTCCATCATAGGATGATAATTCTCAACTTTATCTGCTATATTTTCTAAGTGGTGAATTTATTTTTATGTTAAAAAATTTATCAGGGTGAGAAGCGGGTCAATCAGCTAGTAAATTTGAACGGATGGTGTTTTTGGCCTCTGGGGGCATTAAAAAAAAATATATCGGTATAGCTCTTACCATGAGACCTAAGCCTAAATACTACAGGGTGTCTACCAAACCGAAGTAACGAAAGTCCCCGAAAAGTCCTGGATTTCAGTAGAGGAAGTCACTAAAATTCACGTAGCCTATCTTATTTTCCGACTAAGGTCACCAAAAAATTAATATCTGGATGGGCAATACGGGCATAGGCCTACTAGCTGGGAGGTTTCAGCTTTCCTCCAACCTTATTCTGTCTCTCTTTATATTTGTTAGTTAACATTATTATTTAAAGAAATATCATTATGTTGACATGGATAATAATTCTCAACTTTATCTGCGCTATAGGCCTATTTTCTAAGTGGTGAATTTATATTTATGTTAAAAAATTTATCAGGGTGAAGAGCGGGTCAATCAGCTAGTGAATTTGAACGGATGGTGTTTTTGGCCTCTGGGGGCATTAAAAAAAAAAATATCGGTATAGCTCTTACCATGAGACCTAAGCCTAAATATTACAAGGGTGTCTACCAAACCGAAGTAACGAAAGTCCCCGAAAAGTCCCGGATTTCATTAGAGGTGTGGCATACTTTATGCACACTTTGGTGATCTGGTCATGCGATTCAAGTTCCTGACCAAATCGTTCTTGTTGGATACGTTAACTGAACACATTATTTAACACAGAGGAGACAATTTACCGCAATTCACAGGCCCCAAGAGCCAGCTTTGATGATTGTTAATCAATTAATGCATTTATAACTCAGAAATATCTTGATTGTTCAACATATGGAATATTTATAGATCAATTGGACACAACGTGAACTAACATTTGAATAAATAATCAATAATAAATTACAAAATAAATGACAGTGAATTTGATTACCTGAGATGAAGTTACATATTAATCAATACTACTATTACTACGACACAATACCTCAAGGGGGCGTCCCCCCATTTCCCAACTTATTCAGTCCTGCATGTTTTCTTGGAGACCGCAGACCCACGACAGGCGTTCGTTTGGTCACTCCACTCACCTGCTGCTTGCTGCGCATGCGCGAGCGGTCCTCGACTTGAGATAGCTAACTAGGCGGGACATTTGAATGGTTGTGGATTGATCTCCACAGAGGAAGTCACTGAAATTCACGTAGCCTATCTTATTTTCCGACTAAGGTCACCAAAAAATTAATATCTGGATGGGCAATACGGGCATACTAGCTGGGAGGTTTCAGCTTTCCTCCAACTTTATTCTGTCTCTTTTTTATATTTGTTAGTTAACATTATTATTTAACAAAATATCATTATGTTGACATTACGTATGACACACAAAGATCACTGGTTTGACTTAGTTGTCAGATTTTTTAGATTTATATTCAATGATTTATTTTATATTTATGTTCTGGTAAGCTAACTTTGGTATTTGTTGGAAAATCAAATTCCGTACCACAGCATGTGCATTCCAATGTCAGTGATTTTTAAGAATTAGGTCACCACAAGTCCCCAAATTTACTTTCAGTGAACTGGTAGACAGACACCCTGTAGGCATACAGTAACTTATTAGCTTATTCCCTTATATGGGCACTTCACTAATTCCTTATATGGACACTTCACTAATTTCCTTGGGGAATTTGCAAACAAGTTATCTTGCCCATTTACTAAATGGAATCAATTCAATATCTCAGGTTAAATGAGAGTGTAAAGAGAAAATGACATCAAACATACAAAATATAACAACATCTGTTAATAACTGATTTTAGTCAAACCAAACTTTGCAATATGTTTAGGTTTTCTATGCATGGTGTTTACCCCACACTACAACAATATGTTTTCACGAACTTCCCATGCAAGGATTTAGTCCAGAAAACAGTGTTTGCCGCCAGCTTAATCAAATCGGGTTTCATTACGTACTACTGTACTGTAATGAGTTTTTACCGGACAACAACATATAGTTGATGTTATTTGACTTGATTATATTTGACAATGAGTGTTTATAAATAAACCACAGGTAACGAGAGGTTATGAGTAGTGATTATTAGTCCTTTGGTTGGTGGAAATACATAAGGATTTGTACAGATTTTTTATTGTTAAGATAGCTTACAGTAGTTTGTCATAAAATATCATATGTCACTTGTCCAAAATGTGTTTGCTGGACTCTTATGGTAACCCCACACTCGACTTTGTCTCGCACGCGAACGACCACACTCGTCCGGTAAACACCTGTTTTCAGTACTAGTAACGTAATATACTATTTCGTCATACTGCAGCAAAAACAGCCATGTGTTGCGGGTCTAAAGAAGCATATTTTACTCTCTAAGGAGAAAAAGGTGTTTTCAGGCCTTAGAGAGTAAAAATCAGTTGTTGTCAACTCAGTTGTAAATTTTGATGGTAAACAATTGCATGTATCAAAAGTATGTACTGATTTTTTAATTGGTTGTGATAGTTAATTGTTACCTTATTGTAAATGTAGTTTGACATATCGATAATATAGTACACTAATACAATCGTAATAGACGAAACGATTGAATCATTTACAAAACAGCAGCTTGTTTCCATTAGCAAATTAAATTGAAAAGAAGCTACAGTAAGTAGTTTTGATAGGTTATCTTTAAAAGAAAACTATTTCAATTTTCGTAACATAGTTTGCTCAAATAATACCCTGTTGGTAGTTCAATAAGACGAAAAATATACCGTAGTTCATTAAACGGGCAAAAAGTGTCGCTCATTTTCAATTTTTTGTAAAACATGAGTCCGGGTCGAAAAGAGTCACTCTAGGCCCTAGTGATGAAATATAGGTATGTACTATTTCATAGCATAAAATTAAGGGTGGTACTGGTAATTTTTAATTGTTTACTGTTTTTGCAGGTTGCACAAGTAAGTGTGAAGGAACCTCTTGATCTTATTCGTCTCAGTTTAGATGAGCGGATTTATGTTAAGATGAGAAACGACCGAGAGCTCAGAGGTAGACTCCATGTAAGTTTTTATGAATTGAAATGGAATTTATTCATCTTATTAAGTTTGCAAAAACTGTCACTATTCGTTTTTAAATATCACATTAGGCCTAGTTTTTTTTTTTTTTTTTTTTTTTGTAGGGAGAGGTGGGAAAATGCATTTATGCACACAGGTTGCTAGCCTGTAGTGTGGGACTCCAACGGGCTTAAGGCCCAGAGACTACCCACTAAAAACCTCCTCTACTCTTCGGACACTAGCCTGGGAACACTTGTCGCACTTCATCAGAACTAGGCCGAGTTTGCCTACGCCCGAGGGGCTTACGCCGTGTCTAGCCGTTTATTTCTTATCAAATCTAGACTATGTTCCGATCTAGATCATTCTTTTTAGCTTGAAGGACATTCCGGACAAAGTGCGACCAGCAGTCCCAGTTGTCCTCACCCTTCAGCAAGGTCTCACAGATCGATTCAATCGACAGCACCCCAAGATGTTGAATGGCCTCCTGGCGAAGCATATCCCATTGTGGACAGTGGAAAAAAGTGTGTTCCGCGTCGTTGGGAATGCATGGGCAGTAAATGCAGTCAGGTGAATTCGTTTTGGTCATCAAGTGCAGGTACGACTGAAAATAGCCGTGACCTGACAAGAACTGCGTGAGGTAATAGTCAACCTCACCGTGCCGCCGTTCTACCCACGGTTGGACCTGCCTGATGAGTCTGGCAGTCCAACGTCCTCGAGTCTCCCTTTCCCAGCTTTCTTGCCACATCTGAAAAGTGCGGGAGCGCTCTTCTGTTCTTGCAGCGTCCTTTCCGATGTAGCCTTGTCTCTGGTAGATTGCCTTCCTCTCCGCTGCCAAGAGTTTGACTGGGATAACTCCAGCGATCACCAAAACGGCCGGTTCGGACACCGTACGGTACGCGGAAGCGACCCTGAGTGCCGCCTGACGCTGCACTCGTGCGAGCCTCAACCTATACGCCTCCTTGTTAAGCGCGTCTGCCCACACCTCAGAGCCGTAGAGAAGCACGGACTGGACTGCAGACATCAGTAGTCTTCTACGGCTGGACCGGGGACCACCGACATTGGCCATAAGCCTACTAAGAGCAGCAACACTCCTGGCGGTTCGCGTGGTTTGGACAACTACGTTCCCAACTCGTAGCGGAACGATGGTTTCAATCCGTTTTTTCGTGAGGATGACGATCTCTGTCTTGCTCAGAGCGAGTGTCAGACCATGATCAGTCATCCAGGCGTTTACAACGCGCATGACTTGGTTCAGTTTCAGTTGGGCTAGCTCAACGTTGCGTGCAGCAATGAGGGCTGCGACGTCATCGGCGTACCCAACTAAAACGGTCTCCTCTGGCATCTCAGATCTCAGAAGGCTGTCGTAGGCAGCGTTCCACAAATCTGGGCCGAGTATCGAACCTTGCGTGACACCGGAAGTAACATCCATCGTCCGCGAACCATCTTTAGTTTCGTAATTAAGAGTTCTGCAGCGCAGGTAGTCCTCGATCAGCCTCAACAGATATGCTGGTACGCGGAAGCTGTTCCTCAACGCGCTCAACATATCGACCCATCTCGCCGAGTTAAAAGCATTCTTGACATCTAGCGTAACAAGAAGCACGATACGGCGAGAGTAATGATTGAAGCTCTCGGCACGCTCTACCGCTCTGTGTACCTCGGATATCGCGTCGATTGTTGACCGACCCTTTCTGAAGCCGTACTGACAAGGAGACAAATCTCCGGCAGCTTCCACGGCAGATGTCAGGCGGCAGCGGATCAGTTTCTCGAAGAGTTTTCCGGCCACATCCAACATACACAGGGGTCTGTAAGATGACAGCATATTCGGGTCACCTTTCCCCTTGCTGATTAGCACAAGCCTAGCCCTTTTCCAAGGAGTTGGGAAAACCCCTTCGCACAGGCATGTGTTGTACATTCTCAGCAGTAAGAGGGGGTTAACTGAGAATACCTTCTTGAGAGCCTCACTGGGAATACCATCAGGACCAGGTGCTTTTCTATTTTTCAGGGAGAGGACAGATGATTCCAGCTCTTTAATGCTAAAGAGTGGAATGTCCCCTACCTCGCCATTGTCGAAGGCCGCCGAGGATGAGACGGAAAGAGGGCGGTGACGATCCTGTCCATGGTGGTGCCCTCCATGACGGAAGGTGGTGATCGGGCGCCGAGTTTCTGGGTTACAACCTTGTAGCCCAGTCCCCAAGGATCAGAGTCAACATCCTCCTGAAGCCTCCTCCAACAGCTAACCTTGCTCCTGATGATAGCCCGACGAAGAGCTTTCTTCGCAGCCCTATAAGCCGCTGACTTAGCCTCGAAATCCGGGAATCTTCTGGCCCTCATAGCGGCACGTCTGGCTTACAGACAAGCTTTCCGAAGGTTCGAGATCTCTAAAGTCCACCAGTACACAGCTTGCTTATCGCGACGGCGTCCCCTGCGTGGCATGGCCTGGTCACAAGCCGAGACAACCAGTTCCATCGTGGACGTTACCAATGCCTCGGCGTCAACAGGTGCAGCAGAATTCACCAGCGCTCCCCGTGAGATTACGTCAGTGAACTTCTCAACATCCAGCTTGTCCGTATTCCATCGGCGTGGTCCAGATCGTGATACAGGCGCCTGATTATGGTGTTCATCCAGTATATCAAAAACGATGTACTGATGATCACTTGCCGTGAGGTCTTCGATGACTCTCCAGTTGGAGATCCGTCAGTAGTGATTCCGACGAGAAGGAGATATCGGGGATCGTACCTCTCATGCCGGGGCGCCGGAAAGTAGGCGTGTCGCCCTCGTTTAAGACGACAAGTCCGGCCCTGGCGGCAAAGTCCAGGATGTATTTCCCCCGGGAGTTTGTAGAGGTCATACCCCACTCCACAGCCCTCGCATTAAAATCACCAGCAACAACAACATGCCCAACGGTACCCCGTACACTGTCTTCTAAGCGGTCAATCTTCAGACGGAATTCCCGAATTGGCTCGTTGGGGGTAAGGTAGACACAAAAAAACGTGACGTCCCTACACCTGACCCAAACGAAGCCTCGGCCGCGTCCGTGATCTCGCACTGGTGCTTCCGTGCTGTTTCGAACCCAACAAGCGGCAGTACCAAGAGAATCTGGGAACCAGAAGTGTGGGTCCCTGTCACGGTACTGCTCGCTGATCAGAAGGGTGTCCGCACCGATCTCTTGGGCCAGCTGATCTAAGAGGGAGTCAGCCGTTCTGGACCTCTCAAGGTTACCCTGGAGAATCCTCACTTCCTAGACCTAGCCTTCTCAAGGTCGAGTGCATCCTTGAAAACACTGCATCGCCCAGCCCCTGGAATGTGACCTAATGAGGCGTCCTTTTGGCCTTTCTCTGCGCAGAGAAAACAACGCTCTGCTGCGGTACAGTTCTTCCTGTTGTGGCCCGAGCCGCCACACCTGAAACAATTCTTGGATAGGTCGGGTCCTTTACAGTTTCGGGAAGAGTGACCAAACCCGAGGCAACGAAAGCATCGCGGTACAACCACCCTCCGTCTGAGCCTGCAATTGACCCATCCAATTCTCAGGTGTGTGAGATTAAGCAGCTTGCTGGCATCTTGGTTTCGCATTTCAGCGATAGCTATGCGTTGCTCGCTGCGGTTGGGCCGCGTAAGCCATACTTTAAGGGAGTCGGCATTTTGGATATCAGGGATGGCCTTGTTGATAGCCTCCCTGACTTCAGCCTCAGTCGAAAGACCGTCAAGGTCCCGGATCTCCACCGAGGTCCTAGGCTCGAGTTCCCGAACAGTACCGTGGTCCCCCAGAGCCTCTCTGACCTTTGCAGCAAAAGCCACTCGGTCACCAGATTTCCCCAGCTCGAGGAGAACTTTCCCATTCTGGGTACACCTGATTGACTTAACAATCGTATCCGTCTCCTCTGGCTTGGCCTTAGACTTGAGTCGACCCAAGACTTCAGCAAAAGAGCGCCCCCCTAAGGGGTTGATCAGGATTGCCTCAGCCCTGGGCTTTCTCGGCCTGGGTTTCTTTGAAACAGGGGGGGGCCTTTCCACGAACCTCCCTCGCCGGAGCAGGGTCAGCAATCTTTCGATCTCTTGCTGCAGGTTCTTTGTTAGAGACAGCCTCCATTCGTCTCAATTTCCTCTTTTCTTTGCGGGAAAGCCTCTTCTCCCAGTTACCCACATTTGATGGTGCCACAGCAGAGTTCATAGAGCTGCTTCCGTCAACTGTTGGGAGAGAGGCAAGCTCCCTGGTTTGCTGAGGGCGCTTCTTTAGAGCTGGAGTGTGCTCAGTAGGGGGTGTCATCTGGGTGGCCCTGTCCTCGACCTTCTGCTCGACATCTGACAGAGGCTGATTGGCCAATTCAGGAAGATCGGGGCTCTCCGCTGGTGAGCTCCTTGCCCGTTTCCTTTGATTCCCGCCCTTGTCGTTCAGTTTAGGGGCTAAAACTTGGTTCACAAGCTCCCATTCATTAACTAAAGCCTGTCTCATCAAGCCTTTAATTTCGAGAACTCGGGCAACCCGATCCTTCACCTTTGGGAGACCGTCCTTGATTGACCGGTTTACGTTGGTCCGGAGCTTCAAGGTTCCCTCCATATTATTGATGAGGTCCATCATCTCTACCAGGAGGTCAGACTCCTCCTCATCAGCATCGTCGTATTGTTGACGGTAACGCTGAAGTTCGGGATCCGACCTCTGGGGGCTGATTTTCGGCGCTGTACTTTCCAGGAGGGTTCCCGTCAACGCCGGTTCAACGTCTACTTTTCCTTCTCCACTTGTCAAAGGAGATCTTAGTGGGGGAACTCATTTGAGCCCTTAAAGGTTGCAGGCGGTGGAGTTGCCTTAACGTTGTTCGCTGGTGGCGACCTCTTGACCTTGGAGCTACGCCCAAAAGGGCTCCACTCCTTTTCCGACTTCGATTTTTGCTCATTTGAGCTGCTGTTAAATAATGTGTTGGGTGGGGGGTTTTGACAAGCCATACATGTGTTTACCAGCGCATCGTGCGGCAAGAGACGGCCCGGATTTAGTCAGGAGCGGGTATACCCTCGGG